ACATATTTCCAGAACTCTAGAAGGACATATAGGGTTGTACACATATCCAGGAAAGACCTGGTACAGTCCTAATCTACTCAGGGCAGACTTTGAGGCTCTGCACAAGCAGGAAGTAAAAGGTTAAGGCAGAATTGTTAACATAAGCTGTCTGCTGAAGCATTGAAAGTTCCAAAATAAAATGAAGCAAACTGATAACACAATTCAACAGTAATACTTGGAGACTTCACAAATCCACTTTTAATAATGGATAGAACAATTAGCAGAAGATGAACAGTAAATATAAATCTTAAACAAAACTATAAGCCAACTAGACCTAACAGACATCTACAGAACATTCCACTCAACAACAAAACATATTCAACACATTATTTTCAAGTGCATATGGAACATTCTCCACAAAAGACCCTATGTTAGGCTATAAAATAAGTCTTGGGGCTCCTAGGTGGCTTCGTTAAGCATCTCTTGATTTCAGCTCAGATCATGATCTCAGGGTTGTGAAATCAAGCCCCACGTCCAGCTCTGTTCTCAGCATGGAGTCTGCTTGAGATTCTCTCTCTCCCTCTGCCCCTCCCCTGGCTCTCTCTGTCTCTCTCAAAATAAAAAATAAATAAGTCTCAGTAAATTTAAAAAGATAGAAATCATACAAAGTATGTTCTCTGGCCACAGTGTAATAAAATCAGAAATCAGTATCAGGAGGAAAAGTGAGAAAATAACAGATACATTGAAATTAAATAACATACTTCTAAAAAACCAGTATCACAAGGAAAATTAGCAATTACTTTGAGATGAATTAAAATAAAGACACAAAATACCAAAATTTATGGGATGCAGCTAATGCATTACTTAGAAGAATATTTGTAGGTATAAACACCTATTTTTAAAAAGAAAAAAGATTTCAAATCAATAACCTAAAATTCCACTTCAAAAAGCTAAAAAAAAAAGGGGGGGTGAATCAAACCCAATTAGTAAGATGAAGGATGTAAATATTAAAGATTAAAGCTGAAATAAATGAAAGATGAAAGGAAAATAAGGAATATCAATGAAATCAAAATTGGTTCTCTGAAAAGACCAACAAAATTGACAAATCTTTAGCTAGACAGACCAAGAAACAAGACTCAAATTACTCAAATCAGAAATAAAAGATATCACTACTGACCTTATAAAAATAAGAGGAATACAAGAGAATACCATAAGCACTATATGCCAACAAATTAGATAACACAGATGAAATGGACAAATTCCTAGAAATACCAAAACTGACTCAAAATGAAACAGATAATCTGAACAGACTATAACAAGCAAAGAGACTGAACTTAAAAACTTCCAACTAAGAATATCTCAGGTTCACATGGCTTCACTAATTCCACCAAATTCCAAACATGTTTTTTAAGATTTATTTATTTATTTGAGAGAGAGAGAGAGAGAGAGAGAGAGCGAGAGAGAGAGAGTATGCACATGTGAGTGTGGGGGAGAGGGGCAGAGGGAGAGAGAAACCCAAGCTGACTCCACACTGAGCAAGGAGCCCAATCCAGGGCTCAATCCCACGACCCAGAGATCATGATCAGAACTGAAACCAAGAGTCAGACGCTTAACCAACTGTGCCACCAAGGTGCCCCTTTTTAAAAGATTTATTTTATTTTTGGAGAGAGGCAGAGAGAGAGAGAGAGAGAGGGACAGAGAAAGGGAGAGAGAGGGAGGGAGGGCAAGAGAGAGAGAGAGCATGAGTGGGAGGAGGGGCTGAGAGGAGAGAGAGAGAGACTCTCCAGCAGACCCCATTGAGCATGGAGCCCAACCCAGGCCTCAATTCCATAACCCTGAGATCATGACCTGAGCCAAAACCAAGAGTCAGACGCTCAACTGAATAAGCCACCCAGGCACCCCTGAATTTTACCAAACATTTAAAAAAGCATACCAATCCTTCATAAACTCTTCCAAAGTTCAGAAGACAGAGCACTTCCTGACTCATCCCATAATGCAAGTATACCAAGGATCAAGTATACTCGATACGAGGACCAGAAAAAGACATGCAAAGAATATAAAACTAAAGGATATCCTTTATAGACATAAAAGTCCTCAAAAAAACCCAGAAAACACTAGCAAACTGAATCCAACAGCATCTATAAAAGATGTATACATCATGACCAAGGGGTATTTATCCCAACAATATAAGACTTAACATATAAAAATCAATGAAATCTTACAGACCATATAAAATAAAGGACAAAACCCACAAGATTATCTTAATAGATGCAGAAAAAAGCATTTGATAAAATCCAATTCTTTCATATTAAAAGCACTCAACAAACCAGGAAAAGAAGGAAATTTCTTCAAACTGATAAGGCCATCTATGAAAAACCCACAGTTTACATCATATTTAATAATGAAAGACTGAATGCTTTCCCCCTTAGATCAGGAAAAAGATAAAGACATCTATTCTTGCCAAGACGTCTATTCTTGCCACTTCATTCAAGAGTGTATTAGAGGTTCTAACCAGGCCAATTAGAGGGGAAAAAAAAGAAACAGAGGCATTCAGATTAGAAAGGAAGAAGTAAAATTATCTGTATTTACAGATAACACATGATCTTACATATGCAGAAAATTCTACAGAATCCATTTAAAAAATTAGAATGAATTCAGCAAGAAGGCAAGATATAAGATCAATATACAAAAATCTTCAATTTCATTTCTATAAACTCACAAAGAATATTCCAAAAATGAAATTAAAATACCAATTCCATTTATAATAGCATCAAAATAAGTAAAATAGGAATAGATTCAACAAAAGAAGTATATGACTTACACACTGACAAACTGCAAAACATCGTTGAGAGAAATTAAACAAGACCTAAATAAATGGGAAGATATCCTATGTTCATGGATTGGAAGACTTAATGATGTTAAGACAGCAATAATCCCCAAACTGATCTACAGATTCAAAGCATCCTTATCAAAATCCCAGCCGCCTTTTTGCAGAAATTGGGAAACCAAACTGACTTTAAAAGACCAAAATAAATGGAGAAACAGATCACAATCATAGAATACTCAACAGTGTTAGGTTGGCAATCTCCCCCAAATTAACCTATAGGGTCAAGTGCAATCTCAAATAAATTTCTAATATGTTTTTTAAAAGGAAGCAATGAGTTGATTTCAATAGTTATATGTAAAGACAAAGGACCTAGACTAGTCACAACAATTTTGAGAAAGAAAAAGTTGGAAGATTTAAGTACCTTATCTCAAGACTCACTATAAAGCTATAACAGTCAAGACAGTATAATCCTGGCCTAAGCACAGACACATAGATCAAGGGAACATAAAGAGCACAGAAAGAGACCCATACTTATATGCTCAATTGATTTTTGACAAAAATACATTTCTGCCAATTTTCTTTAACAAAAAATGTGTCAATGGAAACAAGGTATCTTTTCAAAAAGTGGTAAAGAAACTGATAGCTTTATGAGAAAAAAAATCCTTGAACTTTACCTTGCATTCCATAGGAAAATTAAGTTAACTCAAAATGGATTACAGACCTAAATATAAGTGCTGAAACTATTAAATTTATAGAAAAAAAACACAGGAGAAAATCTTTATGACACTGAATTGGACAAAGATTTCTTAAAACACCAAACGTCTAAAACTACAAAAGAAAAAATGAATAAAATGAACTTAAATGAAGATTCAAAACTGTTGTTCTATGAAAAACATGTTTAAGAAAGTGAAAAGCTAAGCAACAGACTGGGAGAAAATTCTGCAAAATATATCTTGAAAAAGGGCTCATATCCAGACCATATAAAGAACTCACAGTCTCTGGTGGGGATTCATTCACTTGGAACTTTTACAACCCACTAATATGAAGTCCAGGAATACCACCTCTCTAATCCCAAAAAAGTGCTAAAGAGTTAACTGATTAAAAATACAGACACACGTGTGTGCGTGTGTGTGTGCGTGTGTGTATGTGAATGGGCAAGAACGGATTAGATGTTCAACATCACTAACCATTGTGGAAATAAAAATTAAAATCACAAGATACCATTATACACCCACTTGAATGGCTAAAATTTTTCAAAGATTTATAGACTGCCAGTACCAAGTGTTTGCTAGGATATGGAACAACTGGAAGTCTCATATTGCTGACAGAAATGCAAAATGTTACAGTCATTTTGAAAAACCAAGTAGCAGTACCTTGGGAAGTAAAACATGTATTTACCATATAATCTTCTCCATTCCACTCTTAGGTACTTGCCCAAGAAAAATAAACACATATACCCACACAAAAACGTATTCACAGCTTAGGGTCAGTGATGTGGGATAAAGGCAATATAAAGGATACTGTGGTAATAAAATGGTTTTGTATCTTGACTTTATCCATGTGAACATCCAGTTGTGATACTGTGCTTTAGTTTTGCAAGATGTTATCACCGGGGGAAATTGGGTAAAGAGTATACATGATCTCTTGTGTCATTTCTTACAACCGCATGTGACTATAATTTCCTCCTAAGTTTAATTAGAAACAAAACTTGTTCACAAATGTTGTAGCAACATTACTTAGCTCCAAATTGGAAGCAAGTCAAATGTCCATCATCTGGTGAATAAACAATTGACAGTATATTCAATCTGTGAAATACCACTCAGAAGTAAAAGGGAACAAATATTAATACATGCAACAACCTGGATGTATCTCAAAAACATTATGCCAAGTGAAAGAAATAAAGCACGAAAGATTACCTACTGTATGAGTCCATTTACAAGACAAGTAGTGTCAGAAAATAGAGTGATTGCCTGGAGGTTTGCCTGGGTGGAAAAGCTGGAGTATAAAGGCGCAGGGGGTAACTTTACTATGAAGGAACTTTAGCTCCTTTTACAGTTTGATTATGGTGGTGGTAATATGATTATATACGATTATCAAAATTCATACTGTACACATAAAATTGGTCAATTTTATGAAATTTAAATATCTTAAACTACGAAGAGGAGAAAAAAATCAAGACTTAGAAAATTTATACCTGTTAGCGTCCTTCCTGCATTCAGAGGAGGAGCAATGACTCTGAAAAGTTTCTGCATTAAAATTAAAAAGAAAACAATCACCATCATTTTTAAAAAAGAATATTTTCAAAAACATAATCAAGAATCTTACGCTATTAATCACCTTTCTCTGACTGAATTAGGTATTTGCTGTTGAGATTAAATACAAAACTTTTAATGTGGCCATGAACTATTATCGAAGGACCACTGGGAAACAATTGTCATATTCCTCACTCAAAGAAACCATTTAATAAATAACCAGTTAGATGAAGGTCTTTGTTGAGATTGTAATTTCTGATATAAAATATCCCTAGGTTATTCAAGATGCTTTATTTAAAAACAATAGTAAGACAATGAAGGGATTAATAGCCTACCAAAGTGGTAATGAAGATTACTTTAAAATGAAAACATCTGAACAACACCAGACACAAAAGGAAACATCTAAATTTAAGCATAGCCCGTGAAAACACAGTAGGACTGAAGACAAAACTACACGGGCCTTCCTCAGAGGGAATTACCTGTTTGGCAGAGAACAGACGCTTAGCACTGGGAAATGCAAATTAAACTGTTCATTAGCATCAAAAAGCCCAAAAAACCAATCCATATTTTCTTTCCCAGGGAAACCCTAAGTCCCTCCCTCCCGCTACCCAACATTTTGCTAAACCGGTATATAAACCTTTAGTTCTGGCTATTCAGTAAAGTACCCTTTACTAAGTGCTCCTAGTACTTGTGTGAATAAACCTTATCTTTTCTGCTGTTAATCGGTCTTTTGTCAGTTAATTCGCAGCCCTCTCCCTACCCCTGGGACCTAAACTGCTAGAGGAAAAGTCTTTACTCTCAAACACAGGGCCCTACTTTTACCTCAGAAGGAGCCAAAGGTAGAACTAAGGAAAGATTTCATCAGAAACTGTGGTAGTCATCTCAAATGTGATGACCACTGTCATTCCAGAAAACCTAGAAAATTTCAAGAGGCAGGACATCTTTTAATTTAGACCTCTTTAAGTACAAAAATAACTAAACATGGACAAGTGATTTCCTTGTGGGCAGAAAATTATAAAAAAGAAATCAGAGAGTGCCCCTAACCTCCCATTGCTAGCTAACCTCTCCAAATGACTATTTAATACCAAGCTCTTTCAGAAAACCATCAAACTTGAAAACTTCTCTTAACACAAAACAAGCCAACCTTGCCCAGCAGTTCATCTGAGATGCATAGGTATAAATGCAAACCAGACTTTGAGGAATGAAACACACAAAACTAAAACTTAAAAAGCCCTAAAAACAAAAACCCTGCAATCATTTTTATCACCACAGAATGTATTGAATCAGGATCTGTTTCTAAAGATTACTTTGAGAAAAACTAGAAATTGTAGAGGCCGCTTTTAGGCAAAGGGCTGAGCAATGGAAATCTGATCAAGGTAAAAGGGCCCAGAGCTACTACTGAGCTGACTGCAAACAGTCTCATTAAATGACCCACCTCGAAACAGCCACAGGCCCTAACAGTTTCTAAGATTACCAAAAAAAGAGAAAACTCCAAACATCCCCATACTCCCTCACTCCACCCTATAACTGTGGCCTTGTCGAAGTCTCTCCTCTGCCCACTACTCCCTTGCAGTGTATTCAATAAACTTTTATCTTTTTTGTTCTGTCTTAGGTGGTCTTTCACTGCGGGCACCACAGGCCCCCATCCAAACAGAGCACCCCACATTTGGTGGATGCCCCCACAGGATCAGGAGACCCCCCATAATTGGGATGCCTCACATTTGATGGCCGTTATGAGGACCCTCTGTCCGCCTGGGGCTCTCTCCAGATTCCCTGGGAATTTTTCGGGACTTTCCCTCAGTGGACCATCCAATGGGGGCATCTCATAGAAACTGCATTAATTCTTCCTAATTGTGGTTTAGTAGTGAGATAGAAAACATTTTTTTGTGTGCAGGGAGGTCCTGGATCTGAGGACACGGCTGACAGCTCTTACCAGGGAAGTACTGGACTTCGGTGGGGAAGCAGCTGAGAGATGTTAAATGTAAAGACGTACTAGGCACACAATCAAGGTCAAAACCAGGGGAAGAGGGCTGTGGCACTCATTTTGGAAACTGACCAAGAGAAGAGAGGTGCAACCAAAACTGGAGGAGTTCTGAATTAGAGTGATACTCACCTACCAAGTTAAGTGTGTTTAATGAAGCCTGAAATATCACAAGATTAACTGTTGGCTTAGTAATACTGAAGATAGTTTTGGATGGCCATTAAATGTGGGGGGAAAAAAAAAGTTGCCTGGATGTCTTCTGCAGATGCCTGGCTCTTGTGAGCCAGGCAATTAGTCATTGTCATAAAACAGTGGGCTGGCAGGGTACTACATATATCCACAATCCATTACCTATATTCTGTCCTCAATTTAAGGCAAATAACAAGATGGATATGGCATTTGGTTCTTTTTAAAATAAGCCCAAATGCTTTTTAGTAATAAGGAGAGTAAATTATAATGCATGCTGTAAACGCTGAACTGGGAAAAGCAACAAATCAGCAATTAACAAATAATGATCTTTCACTGTTATCAGGACCCTCCCTCAGCACAATGTATCTACAAAGAGTATTTCTCAACAGTATATTTACTACACACAATAAGTATATAAAATAAATTTCTTATACCTTTTGGAAAATGTACTATAACATCAAAAATCTTAGGGAGAAAAAAAAACAAAACTTAAAGTCTAACAGGCAAGCATTATCTTTAATTGTATCTATTTGTTCCCCGGGATTTAAATACCTACTTATGCAGATAAAAAAGAAAGCAATGGCAGAAGGTGTGAAATTAAAGGCTATCTAAAGTCCCAAGCTAAAATGGGTATAAGTCTAATTACAAATCTACAAGGAATTAGGCGACTGGATGAAAACAGAAACTATTCAAAGCAAATGGATAATAGGAAAAAGCCATTAACAGACAATATTAAATATATGTCCAAGTTGGGAAGTATCTTACCTCCATTGGACTAATAAATTCATTCATGCCTCTGTTGTAGACATAGATCATAGCATCATACAGATGATTTTCCCAACACATGAGAACTACCTGTAAAAAAAGGAAGAGTCGCTTATTCCATACAATTGGGTCTCACCAATTATCTTCCTTAGAGCTTTAACAGTGGAGAAAATCTTGAATACTCTTCCCTAATTTTTCTTAGTCCTTCTCTGAAAAAAAAACTGAAGTACAGTTGACCCTTGAACAATGCGGAGGTTAGGGATGCTGACACCTCCCTACCCCTCTGCACAGTCAAAACTCCATATATAACTTTTGACTCCCCCAAAACTCAACTACTAATAGCCTACAGTCACCGGGCAGTCTTACTGATAACAGTCGAGCAACACTTAATCTCATACATTATATGTATTATATTCTGTATTCTTACTATAAAGTAGGACAGAGAAAAGAAAATGTTATTAAGAAAATTATATGGAAGAGGAAATACATTTACACTACTGTGCTGTATTTATTGAAAGAAGTCCACATATAAACAGACCTGTGTAGTTCAAAATCATGTTGTTCAAGGGTCAACAGTACTCAAACACAATGCCAGGGTAAGAGTTGTTGGAGGTTCAACACTACTTTTAATTGTAGAATAGCTACTGTTAAACATCCCCAATGTCTATTTTTTTCTCTATCTACCCCTTTTCCATATTCATTTTACCCTTGGTCAACAGCTCTACAAATTACTTAACTGAACATCTATATTCAGGCCCACTGCTAGGATCAAACAAACCCAGACTTAGTCTCTACCCTTACAGACTACTGTTCATCTTGGACACTAACCAAAAGAAGGGAGGGGCACAAAACAGTGTGAGCTAAAACTAGGGGAGATACTCAATTACACATTTAATTCATTTACAAATGTGATGTGTTACAAAGGAACCTGATTTGGTGTATAGAGTATTCAGGTCACCCCTGAGGAAGCAATATTTAAGCGAGGGCCTAAAGAATGCACGCGTATGAGCCAAAAGCAGAGATGGAATCTAAGGACTATGCAGGCTGAAGCAGTAAAGATGAAAGTCTCAAGGCAGCAAGAAGTTTGAAGTGTTTAAAGATGGAGAGAAACTAATTTCAGAAAATATTTAGAAGAGGAACAGCAATGACTTGCAGTGTACTCTGTATTCTGTTCCTAGGAGCGGTTTGTTATACAGAGTGACAAGGGAAGAGGGAGGAAGTCGAAGGGGAGAGGGTGGCAAAGGAGAGTAAGGAGCAGCCAGAGAATTAAGAGGAAAAACAGAAGTGAAGCGTCATGGGAGAGTCTGTATAGACTAAGGCATGTTCTGGGCCCTTTTCTCTTCTCTCACTACCCTCTCTCAGCCAGTGCTGTGATCATACATCTCTGTACTGATGAGTAAGACATTTACCTCTCCTATGACTCAGATATCCAACCACTTACTTGATTATCTTCACCTGAATGTCTAGTAGCTCTCTCAAAATAAAATGGCAAAACAGAACTCCTCATTTTGTCTCTCAAACTTAGACATACCCAGTCTTCCAGTCTTCTTAGAGGAATCACTATCCACCTTTATCTCAAGCCAAAAAACTAAGTGCCGTCCTTAAACTCTTTCTTTCCCACACTTCTACACCCTTGCATCCAATTCATCAGCACATCAACCCTACTGTCAAAACATATCCAAAATCAGGTCCTCTCTCTCCATCTCACTGCAACCATCTCTGGTCAGGACCATCTCCTGGACCAGTACCTAATCTCCTTACTTCTTCTGTACTTGGCTCCCACCTTCATTCTGTTACCCTAAAGTAAACCAGCATCATCTTGCTTAAAACCTTTCAACGATTTCCCAGAGCACTCAGAATAAAATGGAAAAGTCTATACCTTGCCCCGAAAGGTCTACTTCTCTTTTTCAACCAAGCTCCCCAGCCTGTTTGCCTTTTATCTGTAACGTTAACATTCAACGCTTTTTTTTTTTTTTGCATTAGCTGTTGCTTTTACCTGGAACAATCTTCTCCAAGATCTCTGCATTACTGATTTCTTTTTGTCATTCGGATTTCAGACTCAATGTTACCTCCTCAGGAAGACTTTCTACAGTTAAGCAATCTAACATAGCCTTACATCCTCTTTCTACTGTACTACCTATTTGACTTTTAACATAACACTCATTTTTTTATACTTCTGGTTTATCTGTTTACTATCAAACTTTTTGGCTAAAATGTAAGCCTCTGGGGGCAACTGAGTGGCTCAGTGGTTAAGTGTCTGCCTTCGGCTCAGATCATGGTCCCAGGGTCCTGGGATCAAGCCCTGCATCGGGCTCCCTGCTCGGCGGGAAGCCTGCTTCTCCCTCTCCCACTCCCCCTGCTTGTGTTCCCTCTCTCGCTGTTGGTGTATCTCTGTCAAATAAATAAATAAAATCTTTAAAAAAATAAATAAATAAAATGTAAGCCTCTGAGAGGATAAGGGTTGTCCACTAGGGTCACTGAAGCATCCTGGGAACCTGACAATCAATGCTTCTTGAATTAACAAACAAATGCTACTGAAAGAGTAAGAAATATGACTTGATACAGTGGACAGGGAGGGCATTGCTGACTCCATTGAAAGCAAGGCTGAAAAGTTATTAGGATGTGGGGAAAATGGAAGTACAACCTAGACAATGCTTTCAAGACATCTGGCTGTGACTGGGAAGAGCAACTTGGGGCAGTAACCCACAGGTAAGAAGGCTTCCTATGGAGAGAAGGGAAACTGAAAAGATTTTTTTAAAACTGTTTTAACATAAAAAAAGAGTAGAGCATATTTATATAGTGTTGGGGAAAAGTTAAAAATATTGGGAAGAAATGAGAAATTTCTCTTACACTGGTGATACATAAATAAAACTAGATTGATAACATGCTCTCAAATCACTGGAACTATTACCTGAAATGAAGACTATGCTCAATTACCCATACAACAGAA